CATGCAACTGTAGAGGCACTATAGCACACATTCACAAAACCTGTTTACATCAATGTATTCAATCAAGTGGTCGACGCATATGTGAAATTTGTCACAAGAAGTGGCCTAGTATGATTATTACAAGAGAAAAGAAATCGTTGTGGTTATTTTTTTATAATAATCCATGGACTTTATTGTTGTTTATTATATCCATTATTACGACATTATCATTTGGTTGTTTATATATTTATGGAATGGTATTGGCATATAACTATATACCTAAAAGTAATATCAATGAACCAAACTTAATTCAATTATTATTAGCCCCTTACATGACAATTGTAGGAATGTCAATGTTTATTGCAGTTATTGAAGATTATAAAATATGGCGTAAACAATACTCCAATATTATTAGTTTTGTTTGACTTATTCACAAATTCTTATATTTGAAATATTATAACATTTTAATTGTGTAAACATATTGTTGTTAATTGTTATATACTTTAGTAGAAATATTAATATAATTATTGCTATAACTAAAATAATATAATATTTATTCATGTTTTGATGTGTATACACTACATTTGTATTGAATTGAACTATTATTAAATAAAATTATATTAATTATTAAACTTGTTGTTTATCATTTTTAGTCGGTTTGTTGTGTTAAGCATTGAATTCTATGTTGATTTCATATATAATACATGTTGCGTAATTTTTGACGTGACAATATGCTCTGGCACTTTTTATACTTGACAATATTATATGACCTTGTATGTAACAATATCACGTACACTGTGTGTTGCAATATCACGTACAACTATGTTTGAAGATATCACGTGATTCTATACGTGACAATATTTGTATTACCCTTGAAGGCTTGGTATTACTCATAGACTTAACATTAGTCCATAGGATTAGCGTTAACTCGTAAAATTAACAATAACCTTGAGATGACGTGGGCGGGGCTTAGGTGGTTTGGGTCTATATCCGGGCCCTAACTACTAATGTTAAACCTATGTCATAGACTTAACCTTAAGTCGCCATACACCCCTACTATCTACTAACTTTATAATGTAATATTTTCAATATATTTAATTGAATTAATGGCATTTCCACTAATAAATAGCTATTTATAATAATATCTATTAATAAAATCAACAAATAATTAAATACTAGTTATATTTATAATTATAACGGCATTCAAAACGCGTTAAACATTAATAACAATTAGCAAAAAACAGATACAATTAGATTTACCATTCATTCACATGTATTGCCATATGTTGTGATTGTCCGACACTTGTGTCTCAAACCACTCACTCATTGCATACCAATAAACCATTGAATACTTTGCTATCAATGTTTCACATATTGTCTTCAAGTCATTAGAAATGCAAATCAATTGCTATTCAATTGTAATTGAAGTGAATTTAAGTTTTAGTCAAAATGTGTTACACTTCTCGTAAAGAAAGGCGAGAGAGAGAGAGAGAGAGAGAGAGAG